GCATAATTCCTAATATATTATTTTTTGTATGACTTTTTATGAAGAAGTTGAGACAAAAATTTTTCAAATTTTTCATATAACTTATTTACAAATTTTATATGAATTATTTTTTTTCGTATGACTTATTATGAAAGGATTTGAGACAAATAATTTTTGTATAATTTATTTAATATGACTTAAAGTAAATTATATTATTTAACAAGCTGATCAATGCAGAAATAGTTCTTAATATATTATTTTTGTATAACTTATTAAATATAACGAAAAATTATTCAGAAATTAAGGTAGCTAGAACTTTCAAAAACTCTTCTAGTGTAATAGATATAGATTTTACAAGTGAACAGAGTACATAATATCATTAAGGTTATGTGACTTCGTTCTAAAACTTCTACAATGATATTATGTTTATACTAAAGATGATACAGTAATTGATTTCAAATTTACAAAATGTTGCAACATAAACTAAAATTAGTTGCAATATATGTTACAATATTATAAGTTATAATATATATAGATTAAAACTAATTGCAATGTAAGTTGCAACATTAAAAGTTGCAACATATTAATTACAGTTTCCATCTTTAGTCTATACTATCAAATATATCTTGTATCTCATAAAATAACTACAGATATAATTCAATTTTTAAATCAGTAAAATTGATTTAGATCTAAGGTATTTTAGATAATGCTATATGGTATCTTATTTGATTTTTAATTTATAATATTTTTAATAATTTAAAAATTAGTATAAATAGGATATATTTATTTTTAAATAGATTCAAATAAATCCAAATAAAATAAAAATTTTTAAAGAATTAAACAATTTATAAAATCCAAATTATTATATTTCTTAAATGATAATGATTTTTATTCAAATTTTATCATGATTTTCAATTAATTATTATGTAAAATTTTATATAGAAATTTCAATTTTTTTAGATTATTAGTTAAAATACATTATAAAATTTCATTTTTAATAATTAAAATATTAAATATATTCAATTTTATATTTATATTTTTTTATAAATAAATAATATTTAAATATTTAAAATTTTGATCTTAAATTAATATAAAAAGTTACTAATTAATGTAAATTTTTTTTTTAAATTTTATTATAAAAATATTATTTATTTTATAACTAGTTGTTAATAATATATTTAAAATTAACTTTAAAATTCCTTTTAAATTTGAAAGGAAAAAATATTAAAGAAATAATAAACAAATAATTTTTTTAATAAAAATAAAATAACTTTTTTTATTTAAATATTTATTATATTTAAAAAATAACAGATAATGTATTAATAACTAAAGTTTGAAATTTATATTTAAATTAAATAAAATATTATTTAGAAAAATGAAATTAGATTTTATTATAATATACTATATATTATTATTTTTATTTTTATTAAATATTATATAATTTTTATTATATTTAAATTGATATATTAAAAAATAAAATTAATATATTTATATTTTAATAATATTAAATTTAATTATTAGTGTTAGTAAATAAGAATATTTTCAAAAATAAGTTTAAAATAATATAAATTATTAAATATATAGATGTTTTATTAGGAAAAAATTACAAAAATTAAAATTTTATATTATATACTAATTATTATGTTTTTAAATAAAATAAATATAAGAAATATTATAAAATTAAATAAAATAAAAAAATAAATATTAAAAATATAGAAACTTTAAAATATTACAAATTCTAAAATATTTTTTGTAAAATATTGATAATTATGTTTTATATTTTATAAAGATCAGATAATAAGTTTTCTATTAAAAACCTCTCTTATAGCAGAAATAAAAAAAAACAAATTCTAATTGTTTATAAATTGTTTAGCAGATTTTCCTCTTTGTATTGTATTATTCCAACAAATTAATATAGTCTTTTTTTTAAAAAAATAAAAAATATTATTTATACAATTTAAATTACTTTTTTATATTTTAAACAATTTTTTTTAAAAAATAATCTCATTTGATTTTATTATTTTGCATATTAATAATAATTAAATTTACTAATGTAGGACCCATTAAAATATTTTAAATGTTTATATCACATGATTTCGTGCTATTTGTTCGATAACATAAACGAGTGAGTTTTGAAATCTTCGCGACGTATATAATATTTTTGTACAATATTTTTATGACACGTTAAACCAGCCTTATTTTTGTATGAGACTTTACATATAGCACATTTCATATTATTGTATAGTAGGTGACGAAGTGCACCTTCTTTTTTTAGATAATGCCGGCCGGAGCTTTATTACTTTAATTATTAGACATTGACTGACATTAACATAATTCCGACCATTACCGATCTCCTGGTATTTTTTTTTTTTTAAAAAAAAAAAAAATGACAAATTTGTAATCTATGTAATTAAGAAATAAAAATTTCATGATCGCTTATCCTGAATGATTACTGTTGAGGTTAGAAATCAACTATATTAAGATTGCATTAATCGACAATTTTAGCGTTTGGTGCCCGATTGATACTGATAATTAATTTTCCTGAACCAACCAACCTTTGACATTTATTTTTTACTGTATTATTTTATTACTTTGTAAAAAAAAAAAACCAATTCGCGTGCACGATTTCTCGTCACACGGCATCAGTCAAATGATCAACCAAAATCGTTATTCAACAAACCAAGAATTTCTTTAAATGGTTTCGAATATTAGAATAACGTTACAGAGACCGATTATGAAAACATTTAATTATATGGTTGTTATTTTATGGAATCATTATTACAAAGATTAATTAATAATAATAAATGAATAAACCTACACACAAAAATTCACATTTATTTTAAGTGATTTGTATCACAGTAAACGACTCACATGTGATCAAACGGGAAGGTCATTTTATTTTAATGCCTTAAAATTACCAATAAAATAATAATTGGTCCGGATACCCTTTAAATTATTAAACATGTAGATTGTTTGAAATTTAATTTCGTATTATGTAAAAAGAAAATTATGATACAACAATCTATTAATAATAAAAGGTTTAAGATTTATAGTGAATAGAATGTATAATAATTAAATCATGATGAAAATACGTTCATATATATATATATAAATTATTGAAACTTGTCATGCAGTAACAACATTTACGGAGAGGTTACAATATTCGAACCCTAAATAGGCGAATAGAAGGGTTCATGGTTATTAAAATAGAATTCAAATAAAAAAATAATTGGACATTACTAAAACCATAAAAAAAAGTTGAAACCTTAAAAATTTTCTTTTTTGAGATAACACAAAAAATCCATTTCAAGGGGGTTTTTTCAAAAATTATAAAAAGAACCGGAAAACTGATTGGCAAGTAAACAAAAGGATTTCATGTGCAACGTAATAACAATACTTGTCCAACCCATTCTTTTATTAAATAAATGAATTAGCAAAAGGGAGGTACAGCATTTATTTTTTCCTACAACAATTAATGAGAATGCCAATGATGATGCGTTTACAAATTGTTGTTACACTCACGTGACTAATGCGCAAGATATTACACGTACTTGCATCATGCATTCACACACAGATTTGGTCATTATTAGGTGCGGGATTGTTATTCTACCAAATGGTCTTACGTTGTTGGTTTTATTTTGGCCTAATGGTTTGGACTAATAGACCCTTCTCAAACACCTTCAAATGACGGTACTTCCGCAAGTGCATAATTGGTCCACGGCCCACGGAATGTTCCGATCAACAAAAGGAATTACGCCGCAGCAATTGTCGCAAGGGAAATTGTTTTGGTGGGGGGAACTCGGTAAAAACGGTAATTTAACTTATGATTTGGGAAGGACCAAATGGGTTGCAGAATTTCAAGTTTTATTTGTTTTTTTTTATTTATATTTTTTCTTTTTTTTGAATGGACCCATCTAAGATAATCAAAAGAAAAGAATAAAGAGAAAATTTTGGCAATGACCAAAAAAAGAAACTATGACATGCAAAATCATGTCATTAGTAAAGATTTTTTTTTACAGTGATGTCATGATATCTTAATCCACCGACAAAAAAAGTTCTTTGTAATTAAGGATTCGTTTAGGAAGTAATGAACACCGGTTAGGTATAGTGTCGTTTCGGAGATTTTTATTTTCCGTTATCACCTAAAGTTCAGGTGACATGGATGAACCCGTTTAGGAAAGATTGTTCTCTGCTAAAACAAAAGAGAAATTTGGGATATATTTGGAAAAATATCGGTTTTTATCGATTTCAGAAAAAAGAGCACATTTATGTGACACTGTGATTTAACCATATTTTTAGAACAAATAAATCAATTACTTCCAGGAGTTTCGATTACACAATTTACACATATGTGAACTCCCCCCAATATCATTTCATATGTTCAATAAAAAAGGAAAATCTTACTTCAAAGGATTCACTATCAATTAAATTCATCACCATTACATTAGTTTAATGTACAAATTATATTACAATGTATAAATTATCTCAACTATATAAACAAGTGGATTCGATTCCTCTTTGAAATCCTGTTCTGTTGAAAAAACTTACTTTTGAATAAAAAACCATTTTTTTTTTGGACTTAATCCTTCCCCCTTTTTGAATAGTAAAAAAAAACCAAAACAAATAAGCAAGCCACAAGCATAAAGCAACTGTAGTAAAAAAAAAAAATTTTCACACTATAAAAATTTAGAGGGCGTTTTTTTTTATTATACTATATAAATATATAAATTGTATATATATAAATTATTATTTATTTTATATATAAAGACCTCACTTTTCCGTAAATTTTTTTTTCTTGCTTGAGAAAATAATTTTTTTTTGTCATTAAAAAAAAATAATCAGAGACTAAATAGGCCTCTCAACTAAGCAGAGCTTTTGAGATCACTATTGCATCAAAAACTACGACGAAAGAAAGAAAGAAATTAACACCCCCAATCCAAGCACGAACGACAAAACAACTTGTTAGAACCACTTTAAACTAGTTTATTTTTTTTTTAAAAAAAAAAATAACCCTTTCCAAGATGCAACAATTTTTATCCAAGACCATGCCAGTTAGCGTGTCACGCAAAATGTTGGAAGACCTTAACAAAATTAACGACAGTAACAGCACTAATAGTAGTGATAGTAGCAATAGTAATAATAATAACCAAGTGCCACCGCTCTCTTCATCGCCTCATTCATATTCCTCCTTACGTTCGATATCCCCGGATCCGTTTGACCCAAGACATTCATTACATAGACAACCGACATTTTCTTACATTCCAATACATAAACGACGACGTTCCGGAAGTCCAACCCTTATACGATCGATATCTTTTAATTCAATATCAACTTCCGTTCCAAGTCAACTGAGCTTGCCTTCAGCAACATCAATACAAACGCCTGATAGTGAAATGCCAACGACTCCAACCTCATTATTTTCATCAATTTCCGATCAATCAATGGAATATACGAGTTTCCCGAATTTAGAAAAATTTGCGGACGAATGTTGGACTGAAATTCGTGTTGAAGAAAAGAAAGAAATCTCTACTGACATCCAAATGGAATCTTATGATGAAATGTTAGTCGGTGGTGTTCGTTTTTACTACACTTAAATGGAAAGAAATTTATTCCTCGTTATGACATATTGCGTATCTTATTTTTACGCCGGCAACCCGCTCGAAATTTTTTAGACATTTAGAATTTGTTTATTTTTTTTTTTTTTAGATTAATATAGTCTAATAGACATCGTTATATCTTTTTAAAATTATTAGTTTATTATTTTATCTCGTTTTTATCTTTTTCAACAATAATTTCGATTCTCCACCTCCTCGAAACCGCGCGTTTAGAGATTCGGTTCTTTTCTAATTATCTCTAAGCACACATTCAATTTTTTTTTTACATTTTATGCATTTTTTCAAAACCAAAAGTACTTTACAAAAATGTATGAACCTTTTCGCACATACATATATATTTTTTTTTATTTCTCTTCATTCTGTACATTTTTTTTTAATTTTTTTTTCACACTTTTTTTATTATACAAATTTTTTTTCCTTTTCTGAAATTTTCTTTCACTTTTTACTTTTATTGTAAAAAAAAAAAATTTCAGAAAACATTGTACAAAAACTATCAAATAATATCATTAAATATCAATTAGTTGTTTCACAAAAAATACATTTCTTTATTCTTGTAAAAAAAAAAAAAAAAAAAAAAATTTCATTTTATTTAATAAAATTTTTAAAAAAATTTTAACCGTTAAAACTACAATTGTTTCCCTCTGTGATGATTATGAAATGATATATATTTATAAACGCATCATCGCTCTTTATGTGATGGCAAAAAACGAGTTTGGTAATTTGGCGCTATAATAAATTATTTTTTTTCATATCTTTTGGCGTTTTATTGAACTCTCGTGTATAGTTAATTGTGTTAATTATGTTCTTTCTAAAATATATTGGGGTGACCCGCGTGACGCGTGAAATGTATCCTACCAAATATATCGTCAAAATTAATATCTTGATGTTTGAATAATGTAGGATAAGGCATAATGATTTCAGAAGACAGGGTTGACTGCATCTAGGGGTAAAAAAAAAAGGAAAAAAAAGGTAGAGCGTTCGCTGCGCCATAAAAATTCAACACTTTTCTTTCTCGTTAATTTTTTCCCTTTATCTTTTTCTTTTTTCGTTCCTGTTGAAATCGCTAACGCATAATATGACTATTCTCGGTAACAAATAATAAGTTGCATGAATTTACAATGGGCACACCCGCAGCAATCTTAAAATCAAAGTGAATTCGTTTTTAGAAGATTTGCATATGCTTGACACATGCTTTTAATAAAAAATTTATTTTTGTTTTTAAAAGAAGAACGAATTATAAACGAGTTATTACTTAAATGTTTCGACTTTGCAAAAAGATTTGTCAATAAATGGATCTTTTTTTTATTATTTAATTCGTATATAATTCAATATAGACATTGCACTTGAAATTCAAAATATAACTACTCACATAAAATGAGAAATAAAAACGTAAATTAATAATAATAAAAATTAAAAATTAATATATATAATAAAAAAAGATTTTCTATGATAAACCGTAGATAACCCGTCTTATAGCGTTATGATCATTCATTTCGGAATACAATGACAAAAGTAGTATTTGGCTTAGAAAAAAGGAAATCTTTGGGAACAAGTTTATTATTAAATGATTTACATTCATTTCTGCTGATAATAGGATGGATTTGAATTACAATGAAAACATCGATTGACCCAACCGCATTCTTTCAAGGTTTATTTGAACTTAGTCTTTTTCGTATAATAAAGCTTATTTAAAGAGTTTGTAATTTTTCACTCGTTAGTCTTGGCACGATATTCACAATAGATAGAACGGATGATAAGATATATTGTTCGATGTATTATGATTTTGTTTACAGTAATTAGAAAAATAGATTTCCATATGATATTGATTTGTTGTTTCTTTTTTCTCAATTGAAAATCAAACCAAAAATTTACCTTTCCACGTGTAAATATCTACCTTCCTCTTAAATTGTTTTGTTATTTAAATATTATTTTATTATTTTAATTAGCTAAATCTTACATCGCTCATTATATAGAACCAAAATATATGTTGTTGTAATTAGAATAATATAAAAATTGTAACACATAAACATTTATGGAATTCACATGACATGCGGTTACACGGGTGAGAATTACAAACAAACAAAAGCATTTTTTTGAATAGGAACTTGAACTTTTTTTTTAGTTCAAAAGAAAACAATACCATGGGCAATTTTTATTAATCTATTCCTTTTTCTATCGGGTTTAAAAAAAGGCTTAGAAATTTGAGTAACCCAGGTTTATGTGATGTTTCCATTTGATTTGACAGGTTCGACGACAAGTTTCCATCGTAAACCATTTCAAATTTTCTAACAATATCAAAACCTTTCATACTATTGTACTTAATTAAATTTTTTAATCTTAGATCGTATGTTATGATATTTATATCTATTTATCATGATAGATTGGTCATTGTGAAATTTTCATTGGAGGGTGGCGTTTTTTTTTATTTTTTATGGAAAAAATCAACTTTAAAAAAATCATGCATGAGAAAAAATAAATATTTAATTTTTTAAAAAAAAAAAACCGTTTAAGTTTTAAACGTGGAAATTTGGCGGCATTTGGGAATCAATGTTGTTAGGCGGGGTAACAATTAAACATTTTTTTATTTTTTTTTGCGCCTCATTTCCGTTATTAATTCCCTCATTATATTTATAACAAATTCACACACTTTTTAACACACAATCAACACGTCAAACATATTTAAACACATTTTTTTACACACTTTTTACACATTTTTATTTCATATAATTAACCAAAAATGATAAAGTGATGTGAGGTTTCGAACATAATGTCAAAATGTTTTGCTATTTTTCTTTTTTTCGGAAAATTAAATTACAAATATTATCCTTGTTTTCATTTGAACTCGTTTTTAAATCCCTTTATATTCCATATATATAAAAAAAAAAAGAAAAGAAAAAAAGAGTATGAGTATGGCCTAGCCTGGGAACCTTTTAAAATAGATTATGCAACTTTAAAAATCACGATATTTTTATCGGTGCATCAATTGTAAATATTTACCGCCTTCTTCCTTGATAGAAAATGAGAATTTTATCCCTTTATTTTTTTTTTTATATTTTTTTTTCTTGTGACCAGAAAAAAAAAGAAAAAAATAAATGGAAAGATTTTTTTTTCCAAACCAATATCAGCTAGTTCTAGGTAAAAAAAAACTCCTTTTTTTTCATCAGATTTTTAAGTCGTCCGTTGAATTACTCGACCAGGCAGGTTTTAGCTAGTACGATCGACTCGGTTTCGATGATTTTGGTAATTATAATGGGCGGCAGGTTTGACGAAGGTACCACGGAAAATCATAGTAAATGTGACCTTTTGTTGTTACCCGAAAATATTTGACGGTTAACTCGAATTGGTAAAAGATTTGCTTCAACGATCTGTGATATTTGAAGGTTTTTTAGAAGGGTTCGTTGATAAACTAGTTCCATTACTAATTTAATTCAGAATTCAAAAAAAAAAATTGATTTTAGTCCTTGATAGTAGTAAATTTGGAAATATGGTCCAAAAAAAGAAAAATTGGTTAATCTTTTATGATTCTTATCTAAAATTTTTCAACTACAGCCACACTATTTTGATTCTATAATATATCTACAAAAAATTTCATGAACCAGCCCCCAAGCTTAAAAAAAAATTGATAGACCATTAGTCAATGATCAAATGTTTGATCCATTCTACTAGTGGTAAGATTAGGAAGCAAAAGAAATCGAGTTCATAATTTTAGAATGCCTGGTTTTATCGATTGTGGAAACGTGTAAACAATAAAAGAAATAAAAGAATTGGATATTTATTTTTATCTTGGAATGGCACTAATAACTTTAGCGCATATTAAGGAGTTTGATCATTTTGATAACCAAGTGATTATTTCCTTTCCCAACGAGGATAAACATGCTATGATGTCCTTATCTAGATTAGTGTTCATCATTCTAATTTGTTTTTTGGGCCGGGATTTTCAAATTTCTCCTTTGGCGAAAGAAAAAAAAATGCTTTCTCTTCTAAATATATTCAATTCATTTTGCGCTGTATTCCTTAAAGATTTGCAGGACCTGATTCAATGATAGGCTTATTGATTTCGATAAGGGACGAAATTACGCAACCATGATGGAAATGATGCGATTAGTCAAGGAAATAAATGAGGGTTTGCTTGCTCCTGGATCAACGGTATGGATTTTTTCTCTCGTAATAATAAATAGGTTATGACGCAAGTCATTGTTAATTCAATATTTGTTCTTTCCCACCCCTCCTCAATGTTAGTTTTTGTACGTTTAGTCGTCCATGTATTGTGATGTTCACTTTTATCTATACATTCGACCCCCTGTTTATTCACCCTTAATATACAGTAGTCACTCCCCTTTTATAAGCACATTCTTCTGAAGTTATTGATAAACTTATTAAAAAAAACCTCCTCCTGTCAATTCTTAGTCACATCATATAGCTTTTTTATAATCACATCAATTTTTTTTGTCATTACCATAAGGGGTCGACTTACGTATATGTTTGCCGGTAGGGAGTTCCGGACTTACTTAGCCATGAAAAACAGATAATTGCCGGTTATGTATTAGTTTTAGGGTAGGATAAGGACATTAGCATTAAGATTAGGGTAAGTGGATTAGAGGGTTAGGTATAATATTTTTATGAGGCTGGCTAATTGTTGTCATACACTAACCTTAATTGTATGTGATCCGGTAAAATGTCGTAAAATCCGGCTATCGTCGTTTTCATGCAACGCTAGGGTCGTCACTATGATTGTATGTCATAAGAAATTTCTTAAAGTTATTACTTCGCCTTTATAATTCATGAAATAAATTCCGTAAAAAGATGTTCATTCCGATGATCATGCCTGCTTTTTGTTTTTTTAAAAAAAAAACTTCGAATATTTTTAGATTATAGTCTTCTGGTTCTATAATAAAAATATTATCTTTAGTAGTTTTCAAAAAAATAAGCGCGTAACATTTTTTTTTGTCATTGAATACTTGTTTTAAATTTTTTTAAACGCAAAGATTATTTTATGAAAAGATTTTAAGCTACCAAAAAATGTTGATGAGATTGGAAGAAAACTCGAGAAAATTAAATTGTTAATAAAATAGATGATAACATTAGATTTTAAAATATCTTTCGTCAATAGGTCGATAATAAATACTTTATCAATAATTTGTTAAACTTCATCTCTTCTGGATCCTCTAATTTAATTTATTCTATATTCGTCATATTAAAATGACGTTGATTGATAGTATAATATCGAATTGAATCCAAAATTTTAAAAGTCTTCTGCAGATTTGTAGGGCGACGCAACCATAAATTCAGAAAAAAAAATTTTTTAGGCTCTGTATGATGCAATTAGATTACCCCCCCCCCCCCCCCCCCACAAAATAACAAAAAAAATTATCCAAAAAAAAATTAAAAAAGATCATCTATTGTATTCTTTCTTAAGTGATCCAACTAACCATAAGAAAATACAATTAAACTTTTAATTTTAAATAGAATTGTTTAAAGCTTCCCATTATATCCAAACCTTAATATTTTAATATTTGATAAATTTAGATTCATTAATATATAGTTATCAGACCTTTTATGATCATGTTATAACATAGTTTAAATTATTTAATAAAATAAACTTTATGTTTTCACATTCTTTTTTCTGATTTTCTTTTGTTACCATTATATAATGAAAATCCAGTATTTAAATATTATTTAAATAAATATTAAAACATATTTTTATTTTTAGAGAAGTTATGTATTACCTACTCAAGAAGAAGTTTCAAAAATGAAGCAAATTGCTTATACTTATAAGTCTAAAAAAACTGGATATCATATTTTAAAGATTTTTATCTACAAGTAGGATATAATCTTAAATTAGAAACTGCAATTTAAAATAGATTGAAAATGAAGTTTTCAACTTTATTTTAATCATGAAAACAACAACTGGTAAAGAATATTCACAATCTCTATTATTCATTTATTAATTCTTTAAATTATTAATTTAATGAGTATTCTATTACTAAAGAATTGAATTTACTTAATAGAAAACAATTTCTCAATCTTTATTTTATAATTAATAGAAAATTAAAAAGTTTACAAAATGCTATTAAAGAAGAAATAAAAAAGAGTGATGGATTAGAATATGAAGAAGTTTAGGCTATATTTGTATTACCAGCTCTATAAATAATCTGTATAAGAAAAGTATACATTTAAAAAAACATATAATATATGTAGAAAAACAGTATAATATAATTGTAAATATTTCTATATACTAGATATAAAAATGAACATTTTCTATATTTAAATAATAATGAATTTATATATCTAATCAATATATTATTTTATGTAGATTTTATGTTTAATTAATATATTGTTAAGTTATTTTAGTTAAATTTTTAATGTATAAATATTTAAATTATATATGTTATTTTATTTAGACTTTTTAAGTCAAATCAATAAATTATTTTGATTAAATTTTTTAAATCTAATCAGTATATTATATATATTATTTTGGTTGCAATTTTATAAGTTTAATTATTAAATAAATATAATTCATTAAATTTATAGAATTAATTAATATATTTTTATTAAAAAAAAAATAAAAAATAAAATTTGTTTATTCTAATATTAAATAAAAGCTTTATAATTTTAAATTAAAATTTAAATATAAAATTTAAAATATTTATCTGATTTTAAATCAGTATAATAAATTTCTAATTTTTTGATTTTCCTAAATTATTATTATATTATATATATTATATTATATATATATTATAAGTAGAATTTATTGAATTATAATTTTGGCTAATAATTTAATCATGATTATCTTGATATTAGAAAATTCAAAATCAATATAATGTTAGCTTATTAGATTCATCTAATTGTAAGGAATCGAATGGCAATTGTTTCATAAATAATGGAGTAATATTGATAGAAATTGTATATTTTATATTATTTTTTAGATTTTTTTATTTATATAAAAATTATATGATATGATATTATTTCAACCATTGCAACTTTTAATTTGACTTTGACCTCTAAAATTGAAATATGCTTCTCAAAAACTTGAAACTGAAGAAATATATGATGCTGTAGAATATTATATTACATATAATATAATGAATAAGATCATATATTTGAATATATATGTAAACTTAATTATAATACAAATAATTATAGTAAATATATTTTAAATATTTTAGTAATTATCAATTTTTACAAATTATTAGAATTAATTAATATATAAGATTTTTTAATATAAGTAATAATAAATATATTTTAAATAGATAAAAAATATAAAATTTTATTTTATTTGTATTGATAATTTTACAAGATATAAAGTAAATTTAATTTTTATCAAAAGTAAAAATATATTTATATTATTTATTTAATTTAAAAAATAACATATGTAAATAAAAAAAAAATAAAAAAATAAAAAAAATTTTTGATTTTCAATCACAAAAATCTTTATTTTTATAACTATAATAAAAAAATTAAAATGATGTGATGATACAGTTGCAATAACATTAATTGTAATAGGGATGGTAGTATAATATAATAGGAATGGTAATAAAATAGCAACATTAATTATAATATTATTATTAATATTAATATTGATAATATTGATGTTAGTGTTTATATTAAGATTAATATTAAAGTTAGTATTAAAGTTTATATTAATATTAGTATTAGTGTTGTTAAAGATAAGAACTATAATTAATATGTTGCAATTAATTTTAATCTATATATATTGCAACTAATTTTAGTTTATGTTGCAATAAGTTATAAATTAAAAATTAATTACTTCAATATCTTTAGATATTATTATTAGTATTAACATTAGAATTGGTAAAAGTATTGATATTAGTATAGATGTTAGTATTAATATTAGTGTTGATATTAATATTAATATTAGTATTAATATTGTAAATTAGTTAAACAATAAAAAACAGGAATCCAATCAAATAAATTTGGGTTGTTAGATTTGATTTGATTAGTCTCCTATTTTTTTGTTTTTAGCATTAAGTGATTCTGATTGATAATAAATAATAGCGTAGATAGAAGACATTAGAATTCTAATTAGGGTGTTATAAAGATATTAATAGGATTATTTATTCTTATTGATATTAATTTATTAATATTTAGCTTTCAATCAGGTTATTCTAAGTCATCAGTAGGGTATTCTTATTATTACCTATTATATCAATATTATACAAATAGTGTTAATGTGTAATTCTTGTGAATTATAACTTTTAGACGAAGTGTTAGAGTATTATTTCTTTTTAATTGCACAGTAATTTTAAGGCTTTACAAGTTTATTATTATGGCTAAATTCAGAAAAAGATTTATACAAGTATTTCACGATTAACATTTCTTGATGTATCAAGTGATTATATTTTTAAGTAAGATGTTTATTAATAAGATAAGAAATAGAAAATAGAGAAATAAAAGATATAACAAGAAAAAAGAAAAGAAAACAAAGAAACGAAATACTCAACTAAAGTGTAACATAATAGACCTATTTATCTCTTAAAACTACTAGAAAACTGACTTATTAAACCTACTGTTTACATAGTTTAAAAGGCTATCTATTTATATAAAATACAATATATAGAAAGATATAACTAATATGTTTAATATATCGTATATTACAAATATATCTGATATGTTATATATGTCGAATCTGTCTAATATATCATATTTATCGATCATGTCAGATATATAATATATGTTAGATATGTCAAAAATATCAGATATATCAGATTTGTCAAATTTGTCGATCATTTACGCTACGTAAGTCTTATCACATTTTATTCATTCACAATAGTATATTCCAATTGATAACATTTTATTAAATTTTATAATATAGGTAATTTTATAATTATTTATTTTATATAGTAAGTAATCCTGATTAATTACAATAAAAAATTTTATTATTAATGTGATTTACATTAATATAATACATTTAATTATAAAAAAATACTATAGCTTCCAATTATTACAAATTTATTAAATTTAATTATTTATTATAATTAATAAGAAAAGAAGTTTATTATTATTAAAAAAAGAAAAAATTTGTAAAAATCTGAAAATATATCATCAAAATATTCTATTTTGTAATATATCTTAGCTAATATGTAAGAAAAAATATCACTAAAATAATTCTGATTTGTAGAATAATTTAGCCAATTAGCAAGAAAAATTAACGTCTATTAAAAAAAGATAAAAATTAATAAAAATCTAAAAAACAACCATTTTGATTTGTAGACTTAACTTAACTAATAGTATAAAAGTCTATTTCTATTAAAAAAAAAAAATTAGTAAAAATCTGAAAAATAATTATAATAATTTGTAAACTTACCTTAATTAATAGCAACAAAATCTACTTCTATTAAAAAAAGAAAAAATTAGTAAAATCTAAAAAATAACCATTTTGATTTATAAACATATCTTAACTAATAGCAAAAAAGTTCATTCTTATTAAAAAAAATTAGTAAAAATCTGAAAAACAATCATCCTGATTTGTAGACTTATCTTAATCAATAGCAAAAAAATCTACTCTTATTAAAAAAAAAGCAAAACTATACCTAAAAGAATCCTGAATTGTAACCTTATCTTTTTATATTAGTTAATAACAAGAAAAATCTATTTTTATTAAAAAAAAAGAAAAAGAAAGAAAGGTTTATAATTATAAAAAATAAAATAAAATAAGATATATATTTTTTTTAAAAATAACTTAAAGAAAAGAAGAAAGTATAAAGTTTTTGATTTCCTAAAAAAATTTAAATATACAGTCAACCCTCTCTACTGTCACACCCCTTAGAACCAAAAATAAAAAATGTGACTATAGTGAAAAGTGACTATATAGAAGGATTTTTTCATAGTATTACTAAGTATTAGTTTCAAAATGATGTGACTATAATAACATTGTAATTATAGAAGGGTTTTTTATATAGTGTTAATAGGAACTGGTTTTTATGAAAGGTGTGCTTATAACAGAGGATTTATA